TGGAGGCGAGCGCTCCTCCTGATAGAACTTAGTTCCCTCTGCCTCTCTGCCCTGAGCCTCTGCAGCTCAGGAGAGGCTGGAGGGTTACTGGACCCAGAGGCAACCTCAGCTTCCTCTGACGGGGCTGAGGATGAAGCACCTGCAGGCAATGGGTCCTCCATCACCTCTGGAGCCAGAGCGGATTCAGCTGGTGCCTGCTCCTGAGGATCCAGCACAGGTGAGGGCCCTTCAGATTCAAGCCCCTGCCCCTGCTCAGCCGGCCCTGGAGGCGGGGACTCCTGTGCAGGCTGGGATTCCTCAGGTTCAGCCTCAGAATCGGATTCCCAGGCCACCACACTGCCTCTGATATGGGCGGAGGGGGAACTGCCTCTCCTTAGGAGCTGATCTCCTGCCACCCTCTCATTCTGGAGGGATAGAAGGGAGTCCTTCACCCAGCACAGAGAGTTAAACCAGACTCCCTGCCCCAGGAGGCCGCCAAGCTGGGTGGTTTTATAGAATCCGAGAATCCCAGAGTTGGAGGGGACCCCAGGGGTCATCTAGTCCAACCCCTGCGATGCAGGAATCTCAGCTGAAGCCATCCGACCTCTCGCTGTAGCGTTCCCAAAGCAAGGAAGGATTGGACTCTGAATAATAAAATACCCACGAGGCTTGACCAGCAAGACTCTTCATGTTCTGCAAATAATTTAGAAAAGCTATTGGATTGATTGGGGATTTTAATTTTTATTCCGTACTTTGTGTTTTTTATATTGTAGTTTTATGTTCTGAACTGCCCTGAGATCTACAAGTATAGGGCTATGTACAAAGTTAATTAATAATAATAATACTTTGATGCTATATGACACTGAAATGTTTGAATGTTTCTGTGATGGCCCTTGAGTCTTTGGCTGTATAGCGTAAATAAATCCTGCGTCCAGTCACTCTTCCCTGTGTGGACTCTGCTGGGAAGCTGACCTGGCAGGAGAGCAGAGTAGCAGCGGTCCTGCTTCCGTGTGAGAAAAGGGATAAATCAAGTCCAAAAGCAGTTCGGTTCTTATCTCTAGTAGCTTTATTTACAGAGTAATAAATCCATCAGAAACTGTTTTCCCAAAAGCACACATTCGCAGCTCCTCTGAGCTGAGCTGTGTCTGTCTCAGTCAGAATCGAAAGCTGGTCTGGAAACAGACACACACTGTGATGCACTTGTCTGCGTCAAGCTCCTCCCAGATACAGGACACCACGGAGTTTCAACCCTGTCAGTTCCAAACTCCACAGAGTCTTCCTGCCACCCTCGCCGTCCTTTCCTGCCACACCAGGGGGGTGCAACACACACACCCTTTGAGAACCGCCGGCTTAAACAAAGATCTCTCTGAGCCCTGTACAAATAAAACAACAGGTGAAAACACAGCTGCAGGCTACTAGCCACAATGGCGCTGCCCTCCACAGCCTGAAGCACCAAACGTTCCCGAATCCTAGTTTCAGGATGTGGCATTCCCAAAGCAAAGGAAGGATTAGACTCT